CCATTCACTTTAGTCATTTAGAGTGTTCCAATTCCCTTCACTTTAAAGATTTTACCTCCAGCAAAAAAATAACAATGGAGCAAATAAAACACAAGAAAATCCTCAGTGTCTGTAGAATTGAAGCCACAAAGAGCTGCCAAGATGGGAGTAGAAACATAGGTGGGAGGGACCCACTGGCCTGGGGTTGAGGGTGCTGTCATGAGGGGATGGTTGGTGATATGTATCTGAGGAGCTGTTTCCCTAAATCATCTAGTATTGTAAATCATCTAGTATTCATCTACAAATAAATAAATAAAATTATAAAAATATACCATTTTGTCACATTGTCTGGAATGGCTGATTTTTGTTGCACTATTCCAGTGTTAGAGCATCTCATTCTGATGGTCATTCCTAAAATCTATTTTAAAAGGTTTTTATATCACTTGCAAGATTATTAAAGAAGGTAATTTTCCATATTACAATTTTGACTTTTCTTTTGTTTCAACTTTTGTAATAGTTCCTGGATATACTAATTTCATTCAGCCTACAAAGAATCCCGTGTGTGTCTGTATTAAGAATGTGATTACTCCAGGAAATGATTGTGTAATGATGTGATTGCTTTGAGTCACAACTGAAATCTCTTTCAGTTAACATTAGGATGTTGGTCTCCACACCTCACCTTATATTCATTTATTTAAATATGGCTTTTATATTAAATACCTATTATTTTTATGTTGACATGCACGGTGTGTGGAGATAAATATTTGACAAACCTTTATGGCTCAGTAATATGATTTTGTCTTATCTCTCATCTTGTGTATGGAATGCATTATTTTATACAATTGTAACTTTCCCATTTTTGTGACCATTTTATGAAGGCTTTTTCACTTCGTTTTCATTGCTGTCTCTCTCTGTGATGAGTACATGTGTCCTGCTGGTGTCCTGCTGGCTAAGGCAATGAATAGAATACAGTGAAGTTGCTGTACACAGACTAACTTTAGGCAATGCTTAATAGATACCCTCTTCTCTTAGAACATCGTATAAAAGACACAAATCATGTTATTGCATATTTATAGCATAATCTATTACAATAGTAAGTTTTTACATTTTTCCTACAAGTTCCTTGTTAGTACTTATTGCTTTTTTATATGAGGTGTGATTTGTCGTAATTTAAGATATAATATTCTAGCATTTAGTACAATGCCAAAATGATAATTAATATCATATGATAATCATAAATATGAACAGTTGTGTTTTTAAATTAATGTATAATATTGGTCATAATACATTGTGCTGAGCACTTATGTCCCACAATACTCTAAAATGTTTAGGTATGCATTAAAATACTTCATCTTCATCAGGAGACTCTCAGGTAGGTACTAGCAATACAAAAGTTCAGTGCATTAATGAATTCCTTTGCTCAGCAAATTCTTAACAATGCTTCTGCTATTCTCACATTACCTCACAAAAAGCCTAGCTAACTCATCAGCATATGATACTGATTCTAACTACAGAATATATTTTGGGTATAATTACTTGGCTATTGAATGAACAATCTATCTCTCCTTTCTTGCTTCATTTGTTTTCCATAAAAGTTATCTTCAGCTAACATTAGTTATATTTTGCTCATGCTTTTAGTTTCTTATCATTCCTTTAAATTCACTATCATGTATTAACCACAGACTTTAAATTACCTTGTTCAAAATTGTATAATCAACACTGAGATCAGGGTCTCAGTTAACCAGTTAGCTGGTTATAAGACTGATGAAAGAGCCATACAATGAATTAGACACTTGGATGCTCCTTTTTCTTTTATTGCAAACTTAAACTTGCTGATACTTGGTGGAAGATTTCCCATCTATATTCATGAGTCATTAATTCAATTTTTAATGGTTTTATTTTAGTGAAGGGCATATACATTGATAAAAACATTCTGTGTAAGCACTGCTAAAGTAGTTTAATCTTAAATTCATCTTTTGTGAAAGCTTTAGGTTACTCTGTGTTTTAAATTTTCTCTTTTGTCTTCTAAAGTTATAAACAACAACAATGCTATTAATGTAATAATAGCAATGATGATGAAAAGATGGAAGAAGGACTATTGCTATTTCAAGTTAATGTCAAAATACTTGTGTATTACAATGGAAATGCAGTCTGTTGTGAGCAGGGCTGGACATGTACATTGCTCTTTGGAGTTTGGCCTCTGCAAGCACATCTCAGCAAGGCAGTGGGGGGTGGGGTGGTCAAAGGAAACACAGGTGCTGCTGAGTGGGACCAGCTGATCGGGTAGACCCTACAGAAGGGCTGGGGCTCAGTTGCGGGGAGAGATAATTGGCCACATTGTTGTAGCTTAGCCTTGAATGTTGCTCGTCTCAAGACATCTTGAATTTAAGTGTAATTTGATAAATGCCAGTGTCCAGACATGAGGAACAGCTTATTGCCCATGCTCTGGGTGAGAAAATAAAATTGGAAACTGTGTCTCCTGGGAATCTAGCATAGTGCTGACTCAACAACTTGGGCACAGTATCTGTGGTTTCTGAGTGACAGACTTCGTTTAGCTTGGGGCAATGCTGTCATCTGAGGAGGGAGCAGGGAACATGACCTGGAAATATGCAGTCTTGGTTTGGAATGAACTATGGTAAGTGCCAGGCAAGTCAAATGTCACTATTATAAAGTTACTTACCTGCAATTATTGGAGTCTAATCAAATCATATGGCCATTAAAGTTAATATCATTATTTAAAAGTTTGCCAGATCCTATATGTAAACATAATTATGAACAATATAGATGTATGTATATTTGTAAATATATATTTATACATACCGATATACATATGTTGAAGACTTAACACTTCTGTGTATAACTGTGGTAATAGGATTTTTGTTGGGGAAGTGTTAATAACTTGAAACCAGTTCTTAAGATTGCCCTTACCCAATTAAATGGTGCCATGAGAAGAGAGGACTACAAAACAGACATGGGGAGGGTGATGGCCATGTCAACAAACAAGAGAAGTCTACCTGCAAGCAAAGGGGAGGGGCCTGACCAGAAATCAGCCCTGCCTTCATCTTGATCTCATATTTCTAGACTGTAGAACAATGAGAAATGAATTGCTGTTGTCTAAGCTCCCAGTTTATGGCATTTGGTTACAGCCACCCTAAGAAATGTGTTGTGAATGTATGTTCACATGTTTTGCAGTGGTGTGCAGGTGGAGTGAGTGAAGAAAGAGCAGAGGATGATCGAGTTGTCTTGTGTGTGTGAAAACTGCTTAGGTGGAGGTGTGGTGACCATCTTTAGATGAAAAATAGCAACCAAAAATAAAAAAGATGCAACAAAACATGTGGTTTTCTCATCATGATTGTGATACAATGAGCTGAATTCTTCATTTGCTTCAGTGTAATGATCCATGTGAATAATACACTTTGGTGAAGTACTAACTGTCCATGTGCTGCATAAAATAATAATATAATTACATAAAATGATAATATTTCTCTAGAAAAATACACCATTCACCATTTCATCTTGATGGTTTCAAAATAGAATTAGGGTTCTATATAAAAATATTTTCTTAAATGTCTTTGTCAAAAATTTACCAGGCTTTTCATTAGTTGGTTTCTAAGGGACAGGCACTATATCCGCAAAATTTAGTGCTTGACTTTTGTCCTTGGAAGTAGTCCAAACGGCCTTTTTTGAAAATTGGTCCCTCTAGGATGACCTGACATTGCATTATCACCATCCCCAGTATTTGAAGTGCCCTGGAGTCATCAGGATGAGAGGCGAGGCAAGGCAACACTGATATGCTCGATTCTCGATAGCTCCCTAATATTCTTACAGACAACAGTCACTGCCAATGAACTTTAACTGACCAGGAACTTACCTTTTCCTAGGTTATTTTACGATTACATCAGAATAAAAAAAATGCATGCCCACAAATTGAAAAAGAAATCATCACAAAGAAAACATACATTACATTACAGAAATTTCAAACTCAATTGTTTTTCCTATTTTATGAGGAAAGGTTTAGCTTGAAACTTCTCTAGACTCCATTCGAAGAAGGTTTTTGTGCTTTCAACTCTCTTTGGCTCACAGTAAGTATTACTGAAAAATTACAGATTTTTAGTTGGACTGAAAGAAATGACAGCCCTCAGAAGTCTATGCACACATATCACTAAAGCATGAGCCTGTGTGATGCCTAACTTGTGGGGACAGAAATATGGAGTGGTAGAATTTGGACTCCAAGCAATGTTAGGATTTTGCAATTCATTTTGAGTAGAATTTGTCTTAATAGGTAAAATTGGGAAATATTTCCCATTTTCTGAAACTTGAAACTCATGTTAGTTAATTATGCTAATAAATTGTACTGAGTCCATTAAGATAGAGCTTTAAATAAGTAAATGATCCTGAGTACTATATTTCTAGCATAGTGTTATATGTGTGTGTATACTATAAAAATAATATATGTGTATATATATACATGTATAATTTATAGAATGCATGTGTATATACACATACAGCAAACATGCACATTTCATAGTATATATGTATCTATATATACATACATACATAATTTTATAGTCTTGTTGGAATAAATCATGATAGGGAATGCAGTATTTTAATATGTTCTGTGGAGTGAGTCTAACTTGGAACTCACAGAATTATCATTAAAGTACTCTGATTCAGGGTCCATTTCTTGCACTATTTCCTTTTTCTTATCAACAGATAGGCTAACAGTATTATCTACGACATGCTATTCTCATATGGAATAAATGGTTAAGGAATGAGAACATTTATTATACAGTTCATTCAATGAACATACCCATTTTAATACATCATGTCCAATTATCAATTTATATCCATTTTATACTGGGCAAAATAATACCACCCTACCCCCAATATCCTATAAAGCATCTGTTATTACCGTAGTGGAAATATTAAATGAATACTTCCAGATACACAGGAATACATTTTTGAAGTCATGTCTGCTATGTAGGAACTCTGACTTCTCCACAGGTAAAGCAGTGAGCACAATGCATAAAGGGAATAAGACCGACGCGCCTTACTTCATCCTTGTGGGCCTGACAGATACTAAGGACATCGGGCTGGTGCTCTTCGTGCTGTTTCTGCTGATTTACCTGGTCACCGTGCTGGGGAATGCGGGCATGATAATGGTCATCCGCCTGGATGCCCAGCTGCACACCCCCATGTATTTCTTCCTCAGTCACCTGTCTTTCATTGACCTCAGTTACTCAAATGTCACCACTCCTAAAACAATAGGGAACTTACTGACCTCCAACAAGAAGATTTCTTATGCTAATTGCTTCACCCAAATGTACTTTTTTATCTTCTTGACTGGAGCTGAGTGCTTTCTTCTGTCCTCCATGGCCTATGACCGCTACGTAGCCATCTGCAATCCTCTCCACTACCCGGTCGTCATGTCCACAAGACGCTGCAGCCTCCTGGTCTTAGGGTCCTATATCATAGGTTTTATGGATTCCTTGGTCACTGTGCTTGACATGACAAAATTGGACTTCTGTAATTCCAACGTAATCCATCATTTTTTCTGTGACACGTCCCCAATTTTAGCCCTTTCTTGCACTGACACTCAGGATACTGAACTTACGATTTTCATTTTGGCTGGCTCCACCCTCTTGGTCTCTCTCATTATGCTGTCAGTATCCTACATGTCCATTGTCTCCACGATCCTGAAAATGAATTCGGCGTCGGGCAAGAGAAAAGCCTTCTCCACCTGTGCCTCCCATCTCCTGGCCGTCACCATCTTTTATGGCACTCTGATCTTCACTTACTTAAAACCCAGGAAATCTTACTCCCTGGGAAAGGATGAGGTGGCTTCTGTGTTTTATACTGTTGTTATCCCCATGCTGAACCCACTCATTTACAGCCTCCGCAACAAAGAGGTGAAAAATGCTGCCCTGAGAGTTCTGCAGAGGAGAGAGGGCTCCAGGCACTTGAAATAGTGACACTGAGGTTTTAAGCTCCTCTTTCTTCCTTCACTATAGGGTATTTTCTCCAAAACTTAAAACAATTGACTTTTTTTTTTTGTTTGTGTTTCTCTGAGTCATCTGTTATTTGACCAACAATGATCTTAAGTCTTTCCAGGATTATGTCTTTAGAAATCCAGGTTGTAATGGAAACCACAAAATAGTTTCTATATTTAGTTCTAAATTAAAGTGCAGCTGCTTCAGAAAATGAGGATTTTTTTATTATTATTATACCATTCCATTCCTTTGCATAGGCTAATAGGAAAGAATTTTGTCATTGGAAAGTCTCCTTTACTGGTAAATTAAAAGCAGCTTCAGAAGTCACTTAGTCCATTATATTCAGAGAATTGTAACAGACTGATTCTGTTTACCTGGTTTGATATACTGTGAAAGTTTAACTTTTAAACTTTCTGATATACTTTGAAAGTTTAATTTTTAAAAATTCCTTTGTCTTTGTAAGATGAATGCATCTTGGTGCTTTAAAAACAATCAAAACTCCCATATTGCATTTCTAAGGACCAGAACTATTGTGTTGTAATCAATTTCTATTCTCCATGTAACCAGACATCTTTGTTTTCTATGAAAAAAAAATTTATCAGTACAGTCCAGCCTTTCTGTGGCATGTTAACGTCAGTCACTGCCAATTTGTTGAAATTCTGTATATTTTACAACTTTGCCTTTCTCTTGATTTTTTGAGGTTTGTTCTGTCATTTACAAATAAATGATTGTATAAATGCTTCACTCATTGACTTTACATTTTTTAGAGAGAAAAATATGTAGGTTGGATAG